TTGGTCTAGTGGTGCCTGGCCGGGCCCCCTTACAGTCGGTACATTCTCTTGGGTTCCAGATTTCACGGACAGAGTTACGGTTGTTGGCGTTGATCTAGCAGTGGTGAATGAGAAGGGCCCAAACCCAGTCCTGTCACCGGTCACTGGCTCACATATATAATATGCTTTGTCTTGAGAACTGGACAGGCAGCCGTCACATAACTACTAATCACTGCGAGTTTTGGTTGCCGCCATTCTCGCTCACTCTTCGTCTCCCAGCTCTCCCAACACGTGCCCGTGCCCGGACAAGCATAACCACGTCTCCCTCTAGGTATAAGCAGCCAGCTCTGTCTGCCCTTCTTGCACGTGTCCCTGGGGTCGACCTGGCAACCTACCTATCTCTTGCGTTTTCTCTATTTCCAAGTTTCAAGGGTTCTCAGATCCAGAGGCGCACTGCACTTCTCCCACTTCTAGCCGTTGGTATCTCTCTTCCACCCATCTCCTCGCCGCATTCCCGACCTTCCCAATCTCTGTCTTCTGGCGCTGGTTATGGTACACCCATACAATACATACGACCTACGTGCCGCCGACCTTTCTTGATAACTGGCTTGGCCTGGTACTGTTCCTTCCGTCATCACTTGCAATCATTGACCTTGCGTTGTTGTCCTTCACTTGCAGCAGTAGTCGAACTGTGCGCCTGCTCCCTCAACCTGCACCGCGATCTCGCGATCTCACCAAGCACGTACAGCTTCGCCAGCCAAGTGGCTAAACGACATACAGAAGTAAGTTCCAGTCCCTCGCCCTTCTTCTATTTGCATTTCTTCATATCAGCGCAGCAGCCTACCCGCCCTCCCTTCGTTTCCATCTGCGGCCGTCATCCCAGCGCGCCTCACGGCGATCGTACACGTATAAACATGCCGCTGCCTAATCCCGAAGCCTTCATCCTGATGTGTGTACACAATGTTCCTAACCACTTTCTGCTCGGCCACTTGCACAGCTGCCTTGCACGCATCTCAGCAGTGCTGGCGCCTGCCATGGCGAGTTCCTCGGAAACCATGGGATCCTCGCAATCCCAAGAAGGCGAGTCCCCCTCGTGGCCAAGCTCGGGCGGGCGGTGTCGAGTACGGGAGTGGTCCCAGTTCGAGCTCAACACGGTCTGCGCCCTGGTATGCCAGCACGCGCACCGCCCGTCCTGGCAGGGGAAGCGTGGGCGTGGGCGTGGTGACGCCAGCCACGACGACGACTGGGTCCTCGGGTTCGCCACGAAGCTGAACAAGGCGCTGCACGGCGTCCGGGGCTACAAGCACGACATCCCGGTCGGCGACGTGCGCGCGCTCCTGGCGTTCCTCGAGGCGGAGAACGGGGCCATCGCGGCGTTCCTGGACCGGCAGCCGTGGCCGTTCCGGCTCACGCGCCCCAAGATGTACGCGTTCCAGCGCCTGTGCGTCGGCTTCAACTACGCCTTCCACACGTGGGCCGTCGCGGGCGGCCGAGAGGGACGGCGGCGGAATCCAGGCATCGGAGGGATGTCCGGGCTGCGAGGCCGAGACGGCCCTTCTTCCTCGTCGGGCCACGGCAAAGGTGAACCCCTCCGCGTTTGCTCTTGAGAGCTCCCCATCTGCTTTTGTCTATTCCCTTGCTGTTCGCTGCGCCAGTATATACTGATTCTCGATACCCGACCAGATAACCGTCTTGAGAGGAACCCGCAGCTTCTCGCAGACACGCGGAAGGGCTGGATGTCCGATGGCGTCCACGCTCGACGAAGTCGCGAAGGCCTCGGTGTCGATAACTCCGCCGCATCTCTTAGAACACACCTGCCTCGACGTCCCGTCCTTCCGGCGAGGCCGAGGGGTTGGGCTCGTCGTCAGGCGCTCAGGGCTACTTTTGTGCCCCCACCACCGCCTTCCCCTTCTATTCTCTACGAACAGATGGGAGCCCAGCCATTCGGCTCATATGGCATGACGAGCTGGGAGGGTCCTAACGCCGCGACACACACCGGCTCGACTCATGATGATTACCATGACTACTCTGACCCTGCCCTCTCAGCTCAGCCCTATCCCCCGGCCTCTCCCGCCTATGCCGGCTTCGCCGATCTACGACGGAGCATTCATCCGATGGGCCCGACGCCCGAGGCGTCCACGGCGCCCGCCTCGCCCGCATACCAGTATGGCTGCGGGCCACAGCAGGGTACCAGTCTGGGGGGTCTCCAGCTCGGCGCCCACGGATCACTGACGTCGCCGGTGAGTCCTGGCCTGAATGCTCCAGCCCATACGGGTTATCGGTATCCCGAGCCGGCGCAGACGAGCGGAAGCCTCGACTACAGCAGCAGCACGCTCGAGACGCCCACCTCGCCTTCGTCTCCCATGCATATGCCAGATGCGGTCTCCGTGGGGATGATGAACAGCCACGGATGGGACCGGGAAGCCGTCTACGACAAGACCGGCGCGGACAACTTCTTTCTCGCCAACGCTAGCCGCGGCTGAGCATTCCCTCAACTGGTAGTTGTTGTAAAACGTCACTTTGACTACCCTGTCCTGTCCTTGGCACTCAGGCCCTGCATTTATGTATGGCTATTCCATCTGCTATTTTCTTCTTTTTTTCTTTTTCGTTGGCTTTGTAGTTCGCTGGTCTGAAGAAGAGAGAGAGAATCAGAAAAAAACGAAAACCGAGGTGGCGAGACAACAACGGCGAGACAAGGAATGTCTGCCATCATTCAATCTCAACCAGGCTGTATCTCCTCGCACCACGTTTCTTTTTTTTTTTTTTCTCGTGGACAACTGCTAGCATCGCCCTTAGCGACCGCAGTCTGTCTTACTGCGCCATTACTGTACTGTACTTTACTTCTCTTCCTCCTCGCCCTAAAAGGTACGACAGAGTACGTTCTCCTTTCCCTCCCTATCTGCATTTTCTTTTTCTTTTCTCTTTCCTTACCTTTTCTTCTTTTTTCTTGCTCTCACCCGGGAGAAGAGCACCAACAAGAAAAGCACGAAGGCGCGGGCGGGAAAGGGGGGTTGGGTTGGGTTGCGAGAGGAGTTCACAATGAGCAAGTGGCTGTCAAAACTGCCACAGAGGGTAGAGCAGAAGGGACCGACTAAACACCGCCCGGACGAGTAGGTAGAAAAGAAAGGCAAGGCTAGACTTCTTAGCCCGCACGCATCAAGCAAAGAAAGGATGACTCGATATTCCCCTGCGATTTGATTCTCGCCGCTAACCTGTCTCGAATATGTGGTATAGGCGCTACCTTTTGCTATTTTTTGCTGGATTGCCGCTCTCGTTCTATAAAGCACATACCTAGCCAACGCGACAACTCCAAGTAGCCCAGACCAAGTTTAGGACAGGAAGGGGGGGGCCCTGATGACGATGGGCACAAAGAGCATAAGATGAGAGACGGTGATAAAAATTGCAGACGTCTTTATATGGCGGGGGAAAAGCCATAGTACCCGAGATGAGAGTGAGAGAGATACGGAACTGCCCGTGTAGAATAGCACCTCAAGTCCCTTGCCCGAACACGGGGAGGCGGATGGGCATCCGATGACTCCATAGCCGCAGAACGCCCTATTCCAGTTTTTCCGCGGCGACGTATCCGAGTTTTAAGTGATACCAGCCTCGTGACGGTGTCCTGGTATAATGGCCAGCGTAGGAAGCCTCCTCGGGCTTATGACCTATGACTCTCGTGATCTCCAGCTTGACTCGGCTCAGTACTCGGTGTGAACATGTTCGGCATAGATAGATGAACAGCGTTGCGCAGCCAGTTTAGTAAGCGGCCATCTCCGTCGCCGGGTTGCCTGAGATAGTGCGTGTGATGACGAAGACTCGACTCGGCGAGAGCATTGTCTAGTTTGGTATGGACAGAGGACTACGGCGACACCCTCGCGGGTTGGCGCCGGCCACTGATGTCTCTGGGCCGTATTCTTTACGTCCCCCTGCTATATGCCGGGGAGATAAGAGGCAGAGCGAGACCAAGAGCCGCATCGTGTATTCTTGACTACATATGCCCGCGCGTAGCCCTAGACGCGGCGCCCAACCCATGTTGCCTGTTTCCGCGGATGGTATGAGGCTCGGCATGGCCAGGGTCGTACAACACATACCGACACCTCTGTCTCGTCCGGCCACTCTCCAGCCGGCCCCCTCATGCGAGATTCCGGGGTCCATCCCGAGAAGGGGGCTGCATAAGAATAGCAAATTCTCGGCTCTGCTATTCGCCTGGTGCCTTGCCTGCTCAGTGGACTACGGTTACTCGCCCCGGCAAACCCTCTTCACTCATAGAGCAGGCTAGAGGGAACAACTGGCTCTACTCGGCCGTCTCCTTGAGACACGTTCATGGTTGTTCGATGGGAGTTGCCGTGATGCTCCCCCCATTGTGCTATGCTGTGTAAGCCAGAAACGACATTTCACCCAGTTGGCAGGAAGATAGTCACCGCCGTCGCCTATTAAGTGATGGTACTAATAGACGGCGAGGCTTACGCCGTGATGTCAAAGGTTCGGCTGGAATCGCACCGCTCGGCCTTCGTATTCAATGCCCACCCGCCGGAAAGGACCAATGAAGAACGAATGGGAGCCGACCCAGTGTCCGAGCCCTTCGTGCCCCCCAGCCTGAAGATACGTAGCGGTCCCGTGGGATGCTAGCCAGTTCATATCCGCCCACTACGTACAAGACGTAGCCATATGGATACAAACGATGAGGCCTGAATGGTACATGTGCTGGGAGTAAAGACCGCGCCACGAGAATCGTCGCATCCCCCTTACCAACGGTTCTCCACGACCACAATACCTATCAAAAAACAAAGGGCAACAAGGCTACGTATGCACCAATGGATACCGGTTGCATGACAGCCTCTCCCTTTCCACCTCTCACTCGAAAAAGAAAAGAAGACATCACGAGCACGGGGTGAAATAGGGAAAGAAAATGTACAAAAGAAAAGAGAAAAGTATACTGTGGAAGAGATATAGAGAAAAAAAAAAAAAAGAAAAAAAAAAGATAGGTTGCTACTCCTAGTGAATCCAGGAGGCATCAGGAATTGAGCCCAATGCGGGGGTCGAACCTGAGGAGTTTATGTTAGTGATGGGTCTATTTTGGGGATACGAAGTCGTTTACTCACCCGCAACCTTGAGATTAAGAGTCTCACGCTCTACCGATTGAGCTAACCGGGCGCTTGGATGAAATGTCGCCGGGCTATCGGCCGTCACATTTTGTGTTCTCCCGCGCGCGCATTTTGGGAGATTTCGTGTGCGGAGTGAGTGGGTACCGATCGAAGCGAGCCGGGCAAAGAAAGTACCTTACATGACTTGAGTCAATACCCCGGACCCCGGCTCAAGCTGCCGATCACTTACTCAGAGGTTACTCCGTACAAGTAAAGGCGAAACGAACATCTGAACCAAGGAATCCGAGACAATGGGGTACGGGGAGAGAAAGCCAACAACGTACACAACAATCATTTGAATTGTCTTCCACAAGGGCGTCTGCTTTGTGTAGGTAGGTGGGTATCGCATGAGCGGCACGGCACGGCACTGGAGCTCCCATCCGCGGGCCCTGGGGTCAAACAACGGCGCTCGAGCCTATAACTACCTATTCGCGATCGGCCGGTTTTTGCTCCCCGTCTCCAACATCCACACAGACTACCTAACTATATCGCAACGCGACCCAAGAAAGGCTCCTAGCGAAAGAATTGAATGAGTTAATGTTACTAGCTTAGGCTCATTCGTTGCTGAAAAACGTATAGTGCTTGAGTCTAACAGCCCTCTCTGTCTAGCCCTCGCGGTGGAAAAAAGTGAGATTAATCGCAACAAACTTCGTGATGATTAGGTACTGTCTCATTATTAAAGTAGGTAGGAAGAGTGGACTAAAAGGGGGCTTACGTAATACAGGAGGAGAAAAGGGGTAAGTAAGGCCTCATGTCGGTGGACCAAGAGCATGATCAAATATTAGCTGCGCTGCTTTCAACACCGCACACATCCAAAGATAGTTATGACAATAATATTTTCCATGAAATACTTATAAGACTGCTCTATTCGGTGCTGGAAAACGCGTGGGTAGGAGCCGGTCCTCCAAGGGCTGACGCGGGTGACCGACCACGCGTAGCCGACTCATCATTAAATCACTCGATCTTACTTGGGTGTATTTTATAAAATAGGTAACTAAGTTAGGCGTTAAAACACGCTGTTATATTTTTTTTTTTTTTTGAATCAAGATTTAACTAATTTTATCCAATTACATCTTATTTTTATGTTTTCAGGTTTTTATGGTTCCAGTTATGAAAGGTCTCGTACTGACAAACATGGAAATATATTATAGAGTTTGGAAAGGAGAAGATGAAAAAGAAGAAGAAGAAGAAGAAGAAGAAGAAGAAGAAGAAGAAAGAGATGGAGAGAATAATGGCCAAACATGATTAGCATGTTTAAGTTAACGTGTCCAGGTAAGTCAGGTAGGTAGGTAACCCGAGGAGAAACAAAAAGTTCCAGCACCACACAAAAAAGGGAGGTGTTCTTTTGTTATCTCCGCTGTCCTCCAACCCGAGCAAGGGGCACACCGTGATCCAACTTGTTGGATATATCAAGTAACAGTCAATGTCCTAACCACGATTGGAACCACCGTAACCAGCAAACCATCGCGACGGATTAGGGGAAACAAGAAGTGCGATGCTGTCAACAGCATTCCCCGGCCAGTCGGTGGGAGGGAAGGGGTAGTTAGCGATAGCGACAAGCGCATCCCGTCACAGACAGACAGACGAATGAATCACGTCACCTTTTCAGGGGCAGTCCGGCCGGCGCTCTCATGCCCCCTTTTATTTTTCTTCTTCTTCTCCGCCCCCCTCGACAGTCAGCGTCACGACCGGCACGGCCGCATCCCGAGCCGCCGGGCCCCCGTAAGGCGAGGCGGAGAAGTCTCGCAGCGGGGTCGGCGGGACGGTGAGCCGCCCGCCGCGCTGGGGCACGGGGCGGACGAGAGACGGGGACGGCCGGCGACGGCCGCAGCCCCAGATGTTTAGGCCCGGGCGCGCGTCCGAGGGCTGGACGTAGGTTATGTAGCGTGGCCTGGCTTGTGGTTGTTGTTGTTGTTGTCTGCTGACGGGCGCGGGCGGCGGCGGGGGCGCGGGACGCGGCAGCGGGGGATGATGGGCAGGAGAAGGAGAAGGAGAAGGCGAGCGCGAGGATCTCCGCACCGTGATCGGCGTCGGCGGCGGCGTCGGCATGGGCATGGGCGTGGCCCTCGAGACCGAGCGGACGCGCGGGATCGGCGAGGCCGGGCGCAGCAGGGTCGAGCCCGGATTTGATCGGTTGTTCGCGTGGTGGTGCATCTCCTGCCGTTCCTTCTCCTGACGGCGCCACTGCCTGCGTCTTCTCTTACTGTGCATGGGCGGCGGGACGGCGAGGAGCTCGGATTTGGGTATGGACCCCGGTGCCCTGGACCAGGAGTGCGGCGAACGTGCTGGGGGGGCGGCGTCCGACGCGCTGCGCTGTGGCGGTGACCCGGTCAGTGGCGTGTCGATGTGATGATGCCCCGAGCGGGCTTTCCCTTTCCCCGCTTCTGCTTCTGCTCCTGCTTCTGCTTCCGCCTCCATTTCCGTCTCTTCCCTAATCGGAACAGACACACTCGGGTGGTGGCTGCGTTGTGAAGGCGATGGTGGATTGCTGAGATCCCGGGGCGGACGTGCTGGGTCTGTAGGCCCGTTAGAACTCCCACCCGACCCCCTTCTTTCTGCCGTCTCCGGCTTTGCTGCGCTCTGAAGACGATACGGAAAGACCCTCCCAATGAGCGCGCTGAAGGACAAGGATCGACCTACCGACCACAGATCAGACGGTGGCTTGGAGACCAGTCCCGAGCCACCGGAATTAATAGAATCGGCGTCGTCGTCATCGTCATCGTCGTAGTGGTCGACTTCCGTCCCAGCGACTACCGCCTCAAGTCTCTCGGCGATGGTCTTCTGCGTGTAAGGAATGCAGTCGGGATCGTAGTCTTCGACTTCGCCGGCGGGATGGCCACCTCTGCCCAGGACGTGAGCAGCGGCCTTATCCCTACTTCTTCTTCTCGACTTTCTTGCGGCCTTTTTGCCCTTACCGCTGGGAACGTCCTCGTCTGTGGACTCTTCCACTACATACCGGTCGTAATTTATCAACTTTCGCGCCTGGTTTATGACCCAGCTATTGCTAGCATTCAAAGGCGGTTTCAGAGGTGATCGAGGACCGTTCGCTGAGGACATAGTGTTACTTTTTCGAGGTTTGAGATGAACCGGGAGAGCGAGGCTGGAGACGTCCGGCGTAGCCAACCTTAAATGCAACCTTAAAAATACGGATAGATGGGTTATCTCGTCTTTCTGAAGGGGAATTGACGGGTAACTTTATAGCCGAGCGCCAGCTGGGGGTGAGGCTGATTTCTTTTAAGGCGTTTGGCTACTGCGCTGGAGAACACTCTACAACAATCTCTTTAACCCAACAAGGCACATGGTAGCCTTACATACCTGCACTAGATAATGCATTGTCACAAACAAAGACACATCATGCAACAATGCACGTCACGGGACGGCGGGCGTCTGAGGTAGAACAAAGATAAGCAATCGAGGCAGGCCGAAATTCTACCAGTACACTGTCAATGAAAATGGCTGCCGTCATTTACCTCACGTCCAAGCAAAGCACCCAACCAACCATTTTGCACCCCTATGCTTGGATATGAAAGTAACTTTTTTTGTAATTTGGAAAACTGTTGCTCGAGACAGAACAATCTTCTCAGAGTCTTATAGCCGGACTAATGTGGGCTGGTGAGCCCAAATAAACAAGCTCTGGTGGGCTATTGATGGCGATAGAGGGCTGGGGACCTCAGGCTGTTTCAACGACATGACCTCCGTCAAGTGTTACGCGGTTCATTGACAGCAGACCCGCTCGTCCATCGTGGGCCGGCATCTAAGCGCCCAGGCTGGGGAACGCGCTCTCGTCGCTGGTGTTGATCGAGGTGGTCTCACGGCCAGCGGGACGGCTGCCGCGGAACTCGCTACGGTCACCACGGTCGCCACGGTCACCACGGTCGCCACGGTCACCACGGTCACCACGATCACCACGATCACCACGGCCACCACGGCCACGACCCTCACCGCGTCCGCGAGCATCGCCTCGGGATCCGCCGCGGCTGGCACCACCACGGGCACCACCACGTCCGCCACGGGGGCGGTCAGGCTCGACGTAGCGTTGGTCAATCTCGACGACCTGCTTAGCCTTGCGCTCACGTTCACGCTTGGTCTTGGAAGCGGTGCCAGGGATGAAGTCATCACCCTCGGCCTTGGCAAGGGGCTTGGCGTTGGCCCACTTCTTGTCGACCTTGCTGCCCTCGTTAGCCTTGCGAATCTCAAGGTTGTCGCCGAGAGCAAGCTTCTTCTCGGCCTGCTGAGCAAGATAGTCTTGGTAGGACACGTGCTTGTCCTCGGGCTCGGCAGGAGTAGCCACCTCCTCAGCATCCTCAGCGGTAGCCTCCTTCAGCTCAGTCTGAGCGATCTCCTCGCCAGCCTGCTCGTCCTTGGCCTCAGCACCACCTTCGGTGGCACCCCAGGACTGAGCGGCCTGCTTCTCTGACCCACCACTAAAAAGGGGTTAGCAAGCCAGCACCGAGAGCAATGGTGGGGTGTATCCTACGTGGCGAGGCCCTTGGTATGTCTGTCATCACGATCTCGGGGGAAACGGCCACCGCGACCTAAACCACATTGTCAGATGATGCCGTGCAGCATGACAGTCTTGCACCCCGGCTCACCTCCTCGTTCACGAGCGCCACGGCCACCACGTTGGCTGCCTCGGGGAACCTCATCAGTGGGCTTGCGCTGGTTGGCGCTGTGGCCGGCATTGCGATCGCGGAAAGCTGCAAGAAGGCCAAGCTGGTCAGTACACGTAGCAGACAGCCGATTGTCCACAGGACGTTGGGAGATGGATAACTTGGACTCACCTCCCTCGTTACCACCGGGACCGGGACGGCGGGTGGTGGTGGTGCCAGCAGGCTTGGTAGGGGCCTGAGGCTCGACATTACGCTTAGTAGTGCGAGGAAGGCTCTTGTCGACCGTCTTCACAGGGCCAGACGGCTGGTCATCCTCCTCGTCATTGCCTACGCGGAGAACACAGCGGTTAGCGGGCGTCGGCAGGCGGGCGGGCAGGGCGGGCGTTTGCGTGGCAGAAGA